CAAAACCAGCAGCATGAAACCAATGATTTTTATTAGCTGTCTCTCAAGTGTTGCATTTAGACCACCACTGTAAGAGGGACATTATTCCCACTGGCAGCTGATGAGGTGCATTTTTTTCCCAACTGAATTTTCAAAACTGATTTGATTTTAGCAGGGGTTCCCCTTGATTTGAAAGTTATTTCAAGGGTTCTTTGGAGATTAAAAGTTTGAGAAAGACTGGCCTAAGGAATCTAATGTCTCATTCTTTCTTTTCTGCTTATATGTAGAACCATTTAATAAGATATCATTATAATATAATTTCCCAGCACTAACATAGCAATATAATTCAGCAGTATAATATCTGCTACTACCAGCAACATAATATAAAGCCTGGAAACCACAATAATATCCCTGTCTCTATATAAAAACAACAACAATACTATATTATCTCCCATACGCATAATAACAATCCCTTTCTCCAGTGTCCTAATTTAGTGTTTAAAATGTAGCACCTCAATAATATACCCTAGCCTCAAAACAATGTTAATATCACCTAGAACTGGAATATTCCCTACTACTAGGACCACCATAAGATCCCTCAACATTATAATATTTTATACAAACAAAAAAGACTATAGAACCAATTACCACATAACTTCCTTTTCTTATTGTTTAAAATACAGAACAGGACAACACCCACTCTTTCATTACATCATGTTGATTGAGAGAGCAGGTTGATTAGCACAAAAGAGAGAACATTCCTCATGAATCATGAGTTTTGTACCTGGTTTAGGCCTGCCCAGTTGTGAAATGCTGAGGAAAACACTGATTATTTGTATAATTCCATTAAAATGTGTGACACAGGTACATTCTCCAGGACTTAATGAACTGGATATTTTTCCACCATAAAAAGAGATTCTACTTTTTAAATTTGAATGGAGCCCAACTTAGGTACAAATATTTATTTTACCAATAATGATTTAGGGTCTGATAAAAAAAACACATTTTAGAAGTCTTTAAAAATCTGTGTTGGGTACATGCAAAGTTGATATTCACTCATAGTTTAGATTATCAAAACGTATTATGACAAAGACAAATCCAGACTTGCAAAATGTTTAGTACGTGGCTTTCAACACTTGGTGTTTATGTAAAAAAAACAAAAACAAAAAACTTAATTTACACACAATTTTATTGTTCCAACAGGCTTAACAGAAATGATAGCTATAAACCAGACATATAATATTAAAGATTCACTATCCAGAAAATACTCATGTACACAATACAAATGTTATTCATAAGATAAATCTTTCTTTTTCCATTTCATTACCATCTGTACTTTTGCATGCTGCATCGGAGATAATATTGAGTAATCAATATCCAGCAATATTATTTTCTCATCTGATAGCTCAAGGGAAGTTCAAAGTGATGCTTTAATTTTCCCTCACTTTTTATTTATTTATGTTTTGCAGCAACAGTAGGTAGCTTCAAATAAAATATTAACTTCATATTTCTTAGTTTTCTTTGTTTTTGCCTACACTTAATTGTCAAGTTTTTAAATTAATGATATAAAAGAAACATCATTTTATACAAATGGCATTCATTATTGCTACTATAAGTACTAAATATTCTAATCTGTTTTGACTAATAATTTTTTTCTAAATATTTAAAAACATTTAATAGTAGAAATAGTAGTGGCAGCTGAATTCCTAGCATCAATGCTTGTCTACTAAATAATATAATTATAGGCTTAGTAATTTAAAGTGAACCTGTGACACACCTATAAAGTTCAAACTGAGTGTTACTCTCCCTACCACATGCCATAACAATTAATAGATGCAGAGATATGGGAAATATAATTATAGGAAAATGTACTGTAGCTTTACTTGTAAAAGTCAAGCTTGTCACTGTCACTGCATCCTTTTCATCTTTACAGTTAATCCATTACATTCGAAGACCAATAAGAAGACTTGTGATGCAAAATAGGGTTGAAACATGCTTGACTTTTACAAGAAATGTAAATATTTGCATATAATTTGAGTAGTTAATATTTCTGGATCTGCTGATTGATTTGTATCCTTTGCAAGCAAAAAATCATGCAGATGCTATGCTATAGGTTGTGACTACTTCAGAGCCCTTTGCCAAAGTCAGTGCACAGTAACAGTTTGAGTTTCAAAATATTTTCTTATCTTTCAGTATATTATCATTTACTAAGTTGGTGAATATTTAGCCTAATTTTAAACAGTATTATAATAAACAAATTGCCAACAAAAACAATAAAAAAGGAATTACTGTATCCAGATGTCACTATCCGGGTTAAGAGTAAACCCCCAAAAATGTAGTACACAGTATATTGCATCTTACCAATCTTAGATGCTGTGGCTGTTTTAATTTTCTATTTTAATTTTTTTTTCTTTATTTTCACTTGGTGAAAATAAAATAAACAGTAACTGACTTCCTGTCTTACGGTGGCTCCTTTATCTATGAAGGAATAGCCCAGACACTAGACATGTACATGCTGGAAATTTATGCTTTGGATGCATTTTGCAGTTTTTCTGGAAGATTGGTATATATTAGATACTATTGAATTGGATAGATTCGAATCACAAGTATTCAATATGTTTTGGATGCTAGTCCAACCCACCAAGAGAAATGGCGGGAGCTGTATGAACAATATTGACTGGCGTCATGTGCATCTGATAAACAAATAAATCCAAATTATCTAACAAATTTTTAAAAATGTAATACATTAACCTCATTGGCCTGAACTATACCATCATGTGATGTCATGAAACAAATTAAAACCAATTTTAACACTAGTTTTTTTTTTTGATTCATTGAAATTCATTATACATCTGGATCTCTGAAAATCGATTTGTAACAAAATGCACGTTGTCTTACAGACACCCTTGGACAGCAGTATTATATGAAGAGAGTAGTGTTAGCTAGAGTAATAGATTTAGGTAGTCTTTTAGTAAGTGACTACCAAAAATTAAAGTCAAACTCCAGCTAACACTTTTTTTAAACAGTTTACAGAAACAATATTCTTCCTTTCTGGATTTACAAAAGTTGACCACAGTAAGCACCCATATCAGTGGTAAATGGTTTGTCTCAAGACTCTAACTTCCACTTCTGTTGCACAGCTTGATATGTTAAAGGAATAAATTTAAAACCATCAACTTTACTGGTAATAAAACTTTTACAGGCAGATGGAAAATTTAAGACTGCTTTGTTAATGCTAGTGATAGACTAAATAAAAAATAGTGCCTTGGCCAAAAATTACAGTAAGGCCTCAATGGCTATAAATCTGTACCAGGTGGAGAGTAACATATATAAATAGAACGAGCCCGGGATTTACAAAAGTATACACTATATTGCCAAACGTATTGATATGTTTTAAAGGACTGGCCTACACGCACATGAACTTTAAGTGCCTTGGCATCCCAGTCTATAGTCCAGGTGGCAGACATATAGGGTTCAATATTGCACAGTTAGCCCACAGTCTTCCGTAGGCATTGGTTAGCCCACCTTTGCAGGTAATAACAGCTTCAACTCCTCTGGGAAGGCTGTCCACAGGGATTAGCAGTGTGTCTATGGGAATGTTTGACCATTCTTCAAGAAGCACATTTGTGAGGTCAGGCACTGATGTCGGACAAGAAGGCCTGGCTCACAGTTTCCACTCTAATTCAACCCAAAGGTGGTCTATCGGGTTGAGGTCAGGACTCTGTGCAGGTCAGTTAAGTTCCTCCACCCCAAACTCACTTGTCCGTGTCTTTATGGACCTTGCTTTGTGTACTGGTGCGCAATCATGGTAGAACAGGAAGGGGCCAGGCCCAAACTGTTCCCCACACAAAGTTGGGAGCATGAAAGTTTCCAAAATGATTTAATGTCTTAGTATGCTGATGCCTTAAGAGTTCCCTGTTTTGCCCTACTTACAACTAACCATGCCCACTTTAGTTTTGTTTATAGTGTAGACATACTGTGTATAAACAGCTGTGCTCATAAGTGTGCATTTACCCTGGCAGAAATTGTGAAATTTTGGCATTTATATTTAAAAATATGACTGATCGTGCCAAAAAACTGTCTTTTATTTAAGGATAGTGATCAAACAGTATGAAGCCATTTATTATCACATAGTTGTTTGGCTCCTTTTTTAAATCATAATGATAACAGAAAATCACCCAAATAGCCATAATCAAAAGTTTACATACCCTGGAATGTTTGGCCTCGGTACAGAGAAACAAGGTGACACTCATGGTTTAAAATGACAATTAAAGGTTATTTTCCCACATCTGTGACTTTTTAAATTGATATTGGTGTCTGTGTATAAGAAGTCAGTGCGTTTGTTAGCTCTCAAACTCATTGTTTATGACACACCATGGTACACATCAGCCATTTGCATTAATTTATTGGACTTGAGGATCATTTTGTGTGCAACAACCCAGACCCATCAACAGAAATGTTGCAGTAATAAGACTTTACACACAGGAAATTTAATTTTTTCCTGATATGATATACTTATTCAGAATAATTTTTTCTTTTTTGCTAAAATGTTCTGTGTTGCAAATGCTGTAATACAAACAGCCACTACCGTATTTTTCGCTCCATAAGCAACACTTTTTTTCAGTCAGGTGTGTGTCAGTGCGTCTTATGGAGCGAATGTAAAGCGGCCGGAACCGGTATTTCTGCCGCCGCCGTGTCAGAATATTGGGGCGGCCGCTCAGCTGTTTCTCCTCCTGCATGACCTTACCTGTTCCTCGCTCCAGCACTACAGTCTTCCCGCAGCAGCTTCTGTGACAGCCGGGTGCCCACTGCGCATGCGCGAGAAGCGCTGCACTTTGCGAATGGTCCCAGTGTCTTCTGGGACACATGACAGGTCCTAGAAGGCTCCGGGCCATTCACAAAGCGCAGTGAATGCTTCTCGTGCATGTGCAGTGGGCACCCGGATGTCACAGAAGCCACCGCGGGAGGAAGAAGGAAGGACAACTCCATGGAAGTGGGAGCGGGTACCTGTCAAATTCAGGTACCCCTTCTCCCTCCCTCCCCAAAGGTCCGCAGTCCCTCTGGTAATCTCCTTTACTGTCTGCAGTCTCTGGTCATCCCCTGCACTGTCTGCAGTCTCTGGTCCATCTGTACTATGTCCACAGTCTCTGGTCATTCCCTGTACTATGTCCGCAGTCTCTGGTCATCTCCTGTACTGTGTCCGCAGTCTCTGGTCATCTCCTGTACTATGTCCACAGTCTCTGGTCATTCCCTGTATTATGTCCGCAGTCTCTGGTCATTCCCTGTACTATGTCCGCAGTCCTGGTCATTCCCTGTACTGTGACTGCAGTCTCTGGTCATCTCCTGTAGTATGTCTACAGTCTCTTGGTCATCTCCTGTCCTATGTCCACAGTCTCTGGTCATCTCCTGTAGTATGTCTGCAGTCTCTGGTCATTCCCTGTAGTATGTCCGCGCAGTCTCTGGTCATCTCCTGTAGTATGTCTGCAGTCTCTGGTATGTCTTGCAGTCATGGTCCCTGTAGTATGTCCGCAGTCTCTGGTCATTCCCTGTACTGTGTCCACAGTCTCTGGTCATCCCCTGTACTATGTCCGCAGTCTCTGGTCATCCCCTGTACTATGTCCGCAGTCTCTGGTCATCCCCCTGTACTATGTCTGCAGTCCATTGGTTCAGAATATTTTTTTTCTTGTTTTTCTCCTCTAAAACCTAGGCGCGTCTTATAGTCAGGTGCGTCTTATGGAGCGAAAAATACGGTATATAAATATAAAATATATGGAATGGAAGGTTTTGCACCCAGCAAACCCACTGAGCAATGCAAGGATCCTTCTGGATATAGGAAAGCAAAATGTTAGGAAGACAACAAAACTGTTTTGTCATGGCCTTATATTTTGGATGGCGAAAAAAAAAACATATCTACAACATACAGTATGTACATACTAAATGAGCAGGCAGCAAATAAATGCATGAAATAGGAAGAATAATACCCTGAGAACTCCTTGTCTAAAGAATAAGAACAAAGTGTAATACAGTGGGCCAATCATGCTTTATTTGTTTTATATAATCGAAAAAAATACAGTATGTACTTTAAGTATGTACTTTAAAGTTTAAACTGAATGGTATTTAGTTTGCTAAAGCACAATTAAATTTATTTACATACAGTACATTTTTTTTATGTCTTTTCATCTTGGAGCTTCTGACCTCCTGTGCCGTCTTTGCAGCCACTTCCCACAAAGAAATGTAATAATCAGTGATGGGTTCTACTGGCATTTCCCTGGTTGATATTCTAAAGGTGACAACTAGAGATGAGCGAATTATTCAAAAATTCGATTCAACTGATTCGGCGAATTCGTGAAAAAATTTTGATTCGAGTCAAATATATTCGCTGCAAATTTAACTTATAAAAGGGTGTTTCTAGGCTTCAGAGCCTTTATATTAGTGCAGAACACTGTACCTTTAATTTAAATGCCCTTGGAGTCTGCTGGGGAAGAGAAATAATACTGTCAGTCAGTATGACATGCAGATGAGTGCCGTCGATCTTAGAATCACCGCACACTTCACTCATTTGGTCAGTCACGGGGCCAAAACCAGAGTGTGGAGCCACAGTGTGGCGGTGGAGGCAGCAGCAATGGGAGGCCATACAGCACCCTATGACAAAATGGAACCCACCAGCAGTGTGAGGAGACCTGAAAGTGGCACATGGCAGAGTGTGGCGATGGAGACAGCAGCAATGGGAGGCCGTACAGGGACCCATGAGACACTGTGACCTCTGGCAGCAGCATGAGGAGGCGGGGTACGGGGGGCCCATGGCAGATTACGGGCCTGGCAGCAGCAATGGGAGAGGCCGTACAGGGACCCATGACACACTCTGAACCTGGCAGCCAGCATGGGAGGCGGGGTACAGCAGCTATGGGGCCCATGACAGATTACGGGCCTGGCAGCAGCATGAGGAGTCGGGCCATGGCAGATTACGGGGGGGGCCCATGACGCACTCTGGACCTGGCAGCAGCATGAGGAGGCGGTACAGGGGCGCATGACAGATTACGAGCCTGGCAGCAGCAACTTGGACAGGAGGATGTTCAGCTTCTGCACACCGTCGGGTGTGCGTGCTCGCAAACTGTTGTCTCTTTGGAAACGGATTCCAAGAAGACTTGCTGACGGAATCCGTGAAGAGGAGATAAGCAGGAGAAGGAGCATCTGAACGAGCGGAAATATGCCAACAAGCGACAACAGGGGCCCATGACAGATTACGGGCCTGGCAGCAGCATGGGAGTCGGTACGGGGGGCCCATGGCAGATTACGGGCCTGGCAGCAGCAATGGGAGGCCATCTACAGCACCCTATGACAAAACGGAAAACCCACCAGCAGTGTGAGGAGACCTGAAAGTGGCACATGGCAGAGTGTGGCGATGGAGACAGCAGCAATGGGAGGCGGTACAGGGACCCATGAGACACTGTGGACCTGGCAGCAGCATGAGGAGGCGGTACAGGGGCCCATGGCAGATTAAGGCCTGGCAGCAGCAATGGGAGGCCCGTAATCTGCCAGCACCCTATGACAAAAATGGAACCCTGGGCTGGGGCAGGCAGAATCGCCGTATCTTTATCACGGTTTTCCCAGGCCACCGAATGGCGACGCTTCTGCATATGCTGACGCAACGCAGGCTGTAGTCCCAACATGGGCCCCCTGGCCACGCTCTTGGACTTTCTGGCCACATAGATCGACATACGGCTTACGTTTACATTTCCTCGGGCGGCTTGACGAAAAATTGCCACACCGCCGAGTAGGAAACTTTGCCCCCGCTACTCCTCACTGGCTGACTGCTACTTCCTCTGTGCACACCGGCACCACTACTGGCCGTGGTGGTAGGCTGCAGTGGAGCTGGTGCTCTACTCCGTGGCCGTTTGCCTCCACTGACACTGCTGCCGACCTGCTGCCTCCTGGCAGCAGCAGAATGGGGAGGAGGAGGCGGTACAGGGGCCCATGGGCAGATTAGGGGCCTGGCAGCAGCAATGGGAGGCCCGTAATCTGCCAGCACCCTATGACAAAAATGGAACACACCAGCAGTGTGGTGAGGAGACCTGAAAGTGGCAGTGGCACATGGCCTGACACAGCAATGTGGACCGTACAGGGAGCCCATGAGAGACTGTGGACCTGGCAGCATGAGGAGGCGGTACAGGGGCCCATGGCAGATTAGGGGCCTGGCAGCAGCTATGGGAGGCCCGTAATCTGCCAGCACCCTATGACAAAAAATGGAACACACCAGCAGTGTGTGAGGAGACCTGAAAGTGGAACACATGCAGAGTGTGGCGATGGAGACAGCAGCAATGGGAGGCGTACAGGGAACCCATGAGAGACTCTGGACCTGGCAGCAGTTTGAGGAGGAGGGGTACAGGGGCCCATGGCAGATTACGGGCCTGGCAGCAGCTATGGGAGGCCCGTAATCTGCCAGCACCCTATGACAAAAATGGAACACACCAGCAGTGTGAGGAGACCTGAAAGTGGCACATGGCAGAGTGTGGCGATGGAGACAGCAGCAATGGGAGGCCGTACAGGGACCCATGAGACACTCTGGACCTGGCAGCAGCATGAGGAGGCGGGTACAGGGGCCCATGGCAGATTAGGGGCCTGGCAGCAGCTATGGGAGGCCCGTAATCTGCCAGCACCCTATGACAAAAAATGGAACACACCAGCAGTGTGAGGAGACCTGAAAGTGGCACATGGCAGAGTGTGGCGATGGAGACAGCAGCAATGGGAGGCCGTACAGGGACCCATGAGACACTGTGGACCTGGCAGCAGCATGAGGAGGAGGCAGTACAGGGGCCCATGGCAGATTAGGGGCCTGGCAGCAGCAATGGGAGGCCCGTAATCTGCCAGCACTCTATGACAAAAAATGGAACACACCAGCAGTGTGAGGAGACCTGAAAGTGGCACATGGCAGAGTGTGGCGATGGAGACAGCAGCAATGTGGAGGCCTGTACAGGGACCCAGAGACACTCTGGACCTGGCAGCAGCATGAGGAGGCGAGGGTACAGGGGCCATGGCAGATTAGGGGCCTGGCAGCAGCAATGGGAGGCCCGTAATCTGCCAGCACCCTATGACAAAAAATGGAACACACCAGCAGTGTGAGGAGACCTGAAAGTGGCACATGGCAGAGTGTGGCGATGGAGACAGCAGCAATGGGAGGCCGTACAGGGACCCATGAGACTCTGGACCTGGCAGCAGCATGAGGAGGCGGTACAGGGGCCCATGGCAGATTAGGGGCCTGGCAGCAGCAATGGGAGGCCCGTAATCTGCCAGCACCCTATGACAAAAAATGGAACACACCAGCAGTGTGTGAGGAGACCTGAGGAAAGTGGCACATGGCAGAGTGTGGCGATGGAGACAGCAGCAATGGAGGCCGTACAGGGACCCATGAGACACTCTGGACCTGGCAGCAGCAGCATGAGGAGGCGGTACAGGGGCCCATGGCAGATTAGGGGCCTGGCAGCAGCAATGGGAGGCCCGTAATCTGCCAGCACCCTATGACAAAAAATGGAACACACCAGCAGTGTGAGGAGACCTGAAAGTGGCACATGGCAGAGTGTGGCGATGGAGACAGCAGCAATGGGAGGCCGTACAGGGACCCATGAGAGACTCTGGACCTGGCAGCAGCATGAGGAGGCGGTACGGGGGCCCATGGCAGATTAGGGGCCTGGCAGCAGCAATGGGAGGCCCGTAATCTGCCAGCACCCTATGACAAAAATGGAACACACCAGCAGTGTGAGGGACCTGAAAGTGGCACATGGCAGAGTGTGGCGATGGAGACAGCAGCAATGGGAGGCCGTACAGGGACCCATGAGACACTCTGGACCTGGCAGCAGCATGAGGAGGCGGTACAGGGGCCCATGGCAGATTAGGGGCCTGGCAGCAGCAATGGGAGGCCGTAATCTGCCAGCACCTATGACAAAATGGAACACACCAGCAGTGTGAGGAGACCTGAAAGTGGCACATGGCATGGAGACAGCAGCACTGTGGAGGCCGCAGGGCATGAGACACTGTGGACCTGGCAGCAGCATGAGGAGGCGGTACAGGGGCCCATGGCAGATTAGGGGCCTGGCAGCAGCTATGGGAGGCCCGTAATCTGCCAGCACCCTATGACAAAAAATGGAACACACCAGCAGTGTGTGAGGAGACCTGAAAGTGGCACATGGCAGAGTGTGGCGATGGAGACAGCAGCAATGGGAGGCCGTACAGGGACCCATGAGAGACTCTGGACCTGGCAGCATGAGGAGGAGGCAGGGGTACAGGGGCCCATGGCAGATTAGGGGGCCTGGCAGCAGCAATGGGAGGCCCGTAATCTGCCAGCACCCTATGACAAAAAATGGAACACACCAGCAGTGTGTGAGGAGACCTGAAAGTGGCACATGGCAGAGTGTGGCGATGGAGACAGCAGCAATGGGAGGCCGTACAGGGACCCATGAGAGACTCTGGACCTGGCAGCAGCATGAGGAGGCGGTACAGGGGCCCATGGCAGATTAGGGGCCTGGCAGCAGCTATGGGAGGCCCGTAATCTGCCAGCACCCTATGACAAAAAAATGGAACACACCAGCAGTGTGTGAGGAGACCTGAAAGTGGCACATGGCAGAGTGTGGCGATGGAGACAGCAGCAATGGGAGGCCGTACAGGGACCCATGAGAGACTCTGGACCTGGCAGCAGCATGAGGAGGCGGTACTGGGGCCCATGGCAGATTTAGGGGCCTGGCAGCAGCAATGGGAGGCCCGTAATCTGCCAGCACCCTATGACAAAAAGGAAACACACCAGCAGTGTGAGGAGACCTGAAAGTGGCACATGGCAGAGTGTGGCGATGGAGACAGCAGCAATGGGAGGCCGTACAGGGACCCATGAGCATGGACCTGGCAGCAGCATGAGGAGGCGGTACAGGGGCCCATGGCAGATTAGGGGCCTGGCAGCAGCTATGGGAGGCCCGTAATCTGCCAGCACCCTATGACAAAAAAATGGAACACACCAGCAGTGTGTGAGGAGACCTGAAAGTGGCACATGGCAGAGTGTGGCGATGGAGACAGCAGCAATGGGAGGCCGTACAGGGACCCATGAGAGACTCTGGACCTGGCAGCAGCATGAGGAGGCGGTACAGGGGCCCATGGCAGATTAGGGGCCTGGCAGCAGCAATGGGAGGCCCGTAATCTGCCAGCACCCTATGACAAAAAATGGAACACACCAGCAGTGTGAGGAGACCTGAAAGTGGCACATGTTTGGGGCATGATTCATGGCGGATTTAGTCAGTTGTGTCAGGAACTGGTGGTTTGAAATCCAGACTAATCCACGCCTGATTCATTTTCACAAACGTGAGTCTCTCCACACTTTGGGTGGACAGTCGTGTCCTCCGCGGAGTTACAATACCTCCTGCCGCACTAAACACGCGCTCGATGCCACGCTACTGGCCGGGCATGACAGCCTTTCAAGGGCAAATTCAGCTAGTTGGGGCCAAAGGTCAAGTTTCGTTGCCCAGTAGTCAAGGGGATTGTCTACCTCGGTTGGCAGGGTGCTGTCCAAGTAGGCCCAAGCCTGTTGTTTGAGGTCCTGCTCCAGGTCCACCTGATGCTGCTGCTGCTGCGGCTGGTTAGTAGTTTCCTCACTGCGCTGGTGAAGAAAGCTACTCATCATCGACTGCAGACTGAGGCAGCCGCTGCTGGTGGAGCTGCCACTGCTCCTACCACCCCACCCCTCCCCTGCTGCCATGGCAGCGGAACGCGAGCGCACAGGGCCCACAGTGTCTGAGGATGGACGTTGGCGCACAAAGGCAGAGACCAACTGACTACATAGGTGGTTTTTATAGTACGTTATTTTGGCCTCCCTCTCAGCAGGTGTGAAAAAGGCCACCATTTTTGAACGGTAGCGAGGGTCCAACAAGGTGGACAGCCAAAAGTCATCCCTCTGTCTGATGGTTATTATTCGGCTGTCGCTACGCAAGCAACCGAGCATGCTATGGGCCATTTGTGCCAAGGAATGCGAGGGACTCCCTGCCTCCATCTCCACAGCATACTGCCACGGTGCGTCTGGGTCCTCTGTCTCCTCCTCCTCCTCCTCTACCAGATGCTCCTGCTCCTCCACTCCTGTCCGCTGAGTGGAAAAACCACCCATTTCACTCAATAATTCCTGAGCACAAATGTCCTCCTCTACCTCCTCCTCTTCTTCCTGTCCTGCCCCCACAGGGGTCATGTGGCGTTGAGATCTGTGCGCCACGTCTACCGCACCCTGACCAGCCATTGTTAACAGCATTTGTTCCAGGACGTGCAACAGAGGAATGACGTCGTTCATCCCATAGTCCTGCCGACTCACGAATAGCGTGGCCTCCTCAAAGGGCCTGAGCAAGCGGCAGGTGTCACGCATGAGCTGCCAATGGCTGACATCGAAGTTACACAGGGGAGTACCTTTATCCGCTTGTAACATCAGGAAATCGGTGATGGCCTTTCGCTGTTCGTAAAGGCGGTCTAACATGTGTAGGGTTGAATTCCACCTTGTTGCAACGTCGCAGATCAGGCGATGCTGTGGAATTCCGTTCTGCCGCTGCAGCTCAAGGAGGGGTGTGCTTTGCGGTGTAGGAATGGCTGAATGCATGCAAAGTTTACGTGACATTTTAAGGATGTCTTGCAGTGGGATGGTGGATTTTAGGAACCGCTTGACAACCAGATTGAACACGTGAGCCATGCATGGCGCATGGCACAACCTTCCTTGACGCAGAGCAGACACCATGTTCTTTCCGTTGTCGGTCAACATGGTTCCGATTTTCAGTTTGCGCGGAGACAGCCATCTGTCGATTTCTCTGTTCATTACACTGAGAAGTTCCTCCCCTGTGTGACTACGTTCGCCAAGGCATACCAGGTGCAGCACAGCGTGACACCGTTGCGCCCTGCACATGTGATATGCCGGTCGGGTAATGGGACTTGGCACGGGGGGGGTGGCGGCTGAGGACACGGCGGAAGAAGAGGTGGTAGAGGCGGACATCTTTTGTGGACCAAGGACGTGCAAACGTGGAGGCAAAAGCGGCGTGACCTGTCCAAGTTGCTGGTGCGGCTGTGCCGGCACCACGTTCACCCAGTGGGCCGTAAATGACATGTACTGTCCCTGACCGTAGTTACAGCTCCACACGTCGGCGCTGCCGTGCACTTTGGCAGAGACCGACATGCTCAAAGACTGGCCCACCATCTCTTCTACATGTGAATGCAGGGCTGGCACTGCCTTTTGGCGAAGAAATGACGGCTTGGCACTCTCCACCGCGGCGCGGCACAAGCCATCATTTCTCGGAAAGGTGCTGAGTCCACCACTTGGAAAGGGAGGGACTGCAGCACCAGCAACTTGGACAGGAGGACGTTCAGCTTTTGCACCGTCGGGTGCGTGCTCGCAAACTGTTGTCTCTTGGAAACGGATTCCAAGAAAGACTGCTGACGGAATCCGTGAAGAGGAGTAGCAGGAGAAGGAGCATCTGAACGAGCGGAAGATGCCAACGAGCGACAACTCCCCTCAGCAGAGGTGTTGGAGCCTTGACTGGCTGATAGAGGGCGATTGACGTCGGGTGACGGAGCAAGTAACGGAGCGGGTGATGGAGCGGGGGCTGGGGCAGGCAGAACCGCCGTATCTTTATCACGGTTTTCCCAGGCCACCAAATGGCGACGCTGCATATGCTGCCGCAACGCTGTAGTCCCAACATGGGCCCCCTGGCCACGCTTGACTTTCTGGCCACATAGTCGACATACGGCTACGTTTACTTCCTCGGGCGGCTTGACGAAAAATTGCCACACCGCCGCCGAGTAGGAAACTTTGCCCCCGATACTCCTCACTGGCTGACTGCTACTTCCTCCGTGCACACCGGCACCACTACTGGCCGTGGTGGTAGGCTGCAGTGGAGCTGGTGCTCTACTCCGTGGCCGTTTGCCTCCACTGACACTGCTGCGACCCTGCTGCCTCCTGGGCAACCCACCGACTGTTTTGCTCGCTGCCAAGCTGCCACCCTCTTCTCCTGATGATGCGGAAGCAATAGCCTGATGACGACGAGGCTGCCAAGTGCGATCAGCCTCATCATCATCAATTAGGGTCTCCGCCTCACTACTAGCCCCCTCGGCTGCGTGTGGGTCAGGAGACAGACCTGTCTCTAGACCGGCTACCGAGCCACTCTCCTCGCCAGTACTTCTTCGCCTGGCTGCTGAAGAGGCGGATGTCTCCCCCCCGTTCCTGACCGCCCTCTGTTAGCTCTTCCTCACTGTACAGTGGGGCTGAGCCCACAGCATGCGATACTTCGCTTGGTGAGGGAACACCAAAGGACAGGGGCAGGTCGAGGACACGTGATTTCAGTGGGCTTGCTCCCGGGCCATGCCAACTAACGGTTGTGTCTGACGTACCCACCGACCGTTGGCTGTAGGTGTCAGAGGTGACCTGGGAAGAGGAAGACGACCGAGCCAACCAATCGATGACGGCAGGGTTGTCGGTGGAGACACGACCGCTGGATGACACCGGGAGCAATGGCCTCTGGCTGCGACTAGTGCTGCCTCGACCCCTTCCTCTGCTGCCACGTCTGCTCGCTCCTAAAACATTGCCTCCTCTGCCACTCCTCTGCATGTTGTCTGACATACTCTTTAATTCAACGATTATGTGTCCCTGAGTAACAATTCTGTGTCCCTGAGTAACAATTCTGTGTCCCTGAGTAACAAATTGTGCCCTGAGTAACAATTCTGTGTCCCTCAGTAACAATTCTGTGTCCCTCAGTAACAATTCTGTGTCTGTCCCTGAGTAACAATTCTGTGTCTGTCCCTGAGTAACAATTCTGTGTCTGTGTAACAATTCTGTGTCCCTCAGTAACAATTCTGTGTCCCTCAGTAACAATTCTGTGTCCCTCAGTAACAATTCTGTGTCCCTCAGTAACAATTCTGTGTCCCTCAGTAACAATTCTGTGTCCCTGAGTAACAATTCTGTGTCCCTCCCTGAGTAACAATTCTGTGTCCCTCAGTAACAATTCTGTCTGTCCCTCAGTAACAATTCTGTGTCTGTCCCTGAGTAACAATTCTGTGTCCCTGAGTAACAATTCTGTGTCCCTGAGTAACAATTCTGTGTCCCTCAGTAACAATTCTGTGTCTGTCCCTGAGTAACAATTCTGTGTCTGTCCCTCAGTAACAATTCTGTGTCCCTCAGTAACAATTCTGTGTCCCTCAGTAACAATTCTGTGTCCCTCAGTAACAATTCTGTGTCCCTCAGTAACAATTCTGTGTGTCCCTCAGTAACAATTCTGTGTCTGTCCCTCAGTAACAATTCTGTGTCCCTCAGTAACAATTCTGTGTCCCTCAGTAACAATTCTGTGTCCCTCAGTAACAATTCTGTGTCCCTCAGTAACAATTCTGTGTCTGTCCCTGAGTAACAATTCTGTGTCCCTGAGTAACAATTCTGTGTCCCTCAGTAACAATTCTGTGTCCCTCAGTAACAATTCTGTGTCCCTCAGTAACAATTCTGTGTGTCCCTCAGTAACAATTCTGTGTCCCTGAGTAACAATTCTGTGTCCCTGAGTAACAATTCTGTGTCCCTCAGTAACAATTCTGTGTCCCTCAGTAACAATTCTGTGTCTGTCCCTGAGTAACAATTCTGTGTCTGTCCCTCAGTAACAATTCTGTGTCCCTGAGTAACAATTCTGTGTCCCTCAGTAACAATTCTGTGTCCCTCAGTAACAATTCTGTGTCCTCTCAGTAACAATTCTGTGTCCCTCAGTAACAATTCTGTGTCCCTCAGTAACAATTCTGTGTCCCTCAGTAACAATTCTGTGTCTGTCCCAGTAACAATTCTGTGTCTGTCCCCTGAGTAACAATTCTGTGTCTGTCCCTGAGTAACAATTCTGTGTCTGTCCCTGAGTAACAATTCTGTGTCCCTCAGTAACAATTCTGTGGCCCTAAGTAACGTTTCTGTGGCCCTAAGTAACGTTTCTGTGGCCCTAAGTAACGATTCTGTGGCCCTAAGTAACGATTCTGTGGCCCTAAGTAAAGTTTCTGTGGCCCTAAGTAACGTTTTCTGTGGCCCTAAGTAACGTTTCTGTGGCCCTAAGTAACGATTCTGTGGCCCTAAGTAACGATTCTGTGGCCCTAAGTAACGTTTCTGTGGCCCTAAGTAACGTTTCTGTGGCCCTAAGTAACGTTTCTGTGGCCCTAAGTAACGATTCTGTGGCCCTAAGTAACGATTCTGTGGCCCTAAGTAACGATTCTGTGGCCCTAA